GGAAAGACGGATTCTGAGGTTAAAGCTGCAGCAGGGGTCTAGCTGTGATCTTGTTTAACCAATCTGGTGTCAACCTACCAAGGTGTGTACAGTCAGATTCTCTTTTTGACGCTATAACCAAAATATTTATGCAAAATAATCACGCTTCACAAAATACTTCTTGTAGTTCAACAAGTCAATCCCATCTCATGAAGTATTATTACGATCATGTTGTTAGCTGCAGTTTTTTCCCATTTTGTCCAAGTAGAGAAATTCCACATCGTGATGATTTATGCTTGTTTTACTTTGTTAGTAATCAGACTAAACAAAATTGAACAGGTCTACATAATTCAAAATGGTGGCTGATGAAAGATACATCTGAAGGAGTTACGGGTCACCGAAGAGCTGACATGACAATGGATAAATCTTGAGGTTTTTATTCTACACTTTTCGGCATTGCGGTCAGTCGGACATATGGGTTCTAATCTTCCTTCAACAATTCTCTGGCGGACAAACGGGTGTTTCTTTTCATAAATCTTCTTCCCTTTTCTCTCACCCATTTTGGTCATTATAGGAGATGTTACTCCGAGATATGTTAAATAATTGTTTATTCAATTTCAGAGCATGCGAGTAATAGATGTACCATGTACGGTCTCTTTAAACGCATAATAAGAAGGTTTTGGTCTTGAGACTTGATTATGAATTTGCACAAAATGAAAAAAGACATGGCATTATCACGCTGATAAACGACAATAACCTCAGAGTATAAAAGGAAGAAAACGACAACAACCTGATAATCAGTAACTAAACTCACAATTTTGTCGTCTTTTTTGTTAACGACATGTATCGTTTGAAAATTTTGCTGCCGCCCCAATTAGTGAAAACTGAAAACATCATCCTGTATTTGTTGGTCAATGGTGACAAACAACATATCGTTTACAATGTAGATACTTTTTACCCGACATAAAACATTGATTTATATAAAATAAAATTTGCAGCATGTTGTCAACCGTGAGGATGAAACGACATGCCGTTTTGCGTACACAATTTGAATAATTCCGAACAAATTGAAAATTAGGACATACTATCCAATTGGAGGTGCGACGTACATGAAGAAACACTACAGGAAGGGGAAGTCACCAAAAGTTTTCAATGTCAAAATCTGTTATTACGCAAAAATTTCATACCCCGATTACAGAGAAAATAAATATATAAACTCAGATTACAGGACCAACTCTAACAGAAAAAACTTTTTGTGGCAACGACAATTTGGTTCTTCGCTACAACCAATATAAGTTAAGATCGTCCAAGGAAAGATCTTACATATGAATCATCATGGAGCCAGGCAAATGATGCCTCAAAATTGTTGCCAGGCTAGAGAGGCAAACCATTGGATAGTGCCAGTATTCAAATCCTTTCTATGCATGCTCATAATGATGCAACTTGTACAACAGCACTTTCCCAGCAGCATTACCAACGGCCATGAAACCTCCACCAGGACTAAAATCCAAGCAGCGGGGATAACTTAGGTGTCGATTGCGTGGCGGCCAGTTCGAGAATACAGTAAAAGATGGAACATGTATTAGCTTTAAGCTGTCCTTCTTCATGTGCGAACAAACAGCCAAAACTTGAGCATCGTTGTTGAACTTCATAAAGTTCACTCTAGTGGTGAGATTCTCAATGGTCTTCAAAGGCTTTCTCTTGCCCCCTAAGAAGTCATCTCGGTTATAAACATTCACAATCCCACTCTCTGAACCAGCTGCAAACAATGTTCCATCTGGGGATGTGCACAAAGACGTGCCATTTATACAACCTTCATCAACCCCTTTATGTAAGCAAGTCCTTGTTCTCAGATCCCAGTGATAAACCTGCCCATCCCCTCCGGAGCTCAGTAACTGCTTGCCATCATCAGCAAAGGCTAAAGAGCGAACAGTTCCGTTCATCTTTAGCGTCCCAATCAGTTCTTTCGTTTTAGAAGAAACCAACAAGATATAGCCTTCATTTCCCACAAATGCGATGGTGCTAGAATCGGGGGAGACTTCAAAAGACTCCAAGCTTTTTTCCTCCCTTCCTACTAGTGGGCCTATTTTATCAACTTTTGCTTTCACTAAATCAAAGGCATAGAAAAACTTCCTCCTTCCTGCTATAATGACCTGAGACCCGTCAGGCAAGAAAGAAGCTTTGAGAACAGGAAAATCTTCAAGGAAGATGCTTTGTATTTTGGTATTCCGCTTGCCATCTATCTGAAAAAATTTAAGCCTTTTATCTAATCCAGCAGTAAGTAGCAGCTGGGCATTTCTATGAAACTGAACAGAATTTATCGTAGCATTAGATGGCTCCTGCGCATTTGCATCTACAAGTGCCGAGTATTCAAGATGTCCAGGCAGTAGCTTTGCCCTGCTTTTAACAACAAGGTCCTCATTTGTTCTGAGGAGATTATCAACGGCCTCAACATCCTTATAACCACGGGCTAATACTGCCCCAATTTCTTCATCTGATGCCTCGTCATCAGAATACCTATCACCTCTTATTCCCGAGTCAAGTCGAGCCCATTCCGTGCCTGGGTTAAGCTTAGCATGTTGAGCCCTCAATCTCGAGACATACTCCGAACCAGAAATTAAGCTCTCATCCTCTTCCTTCCTCAGCTTCCTTAGTCTGTTAACCTTGGCAATATTTATCCTGGCCTTTTCCTCTTCCTCATCAACCCAGACGGGCTTCCTTAGCTTCTTTTCTTCCTCGTCCTCAGTTTCCTCCAACAATTCTTTCCCATCTTCATAAACTGATAAGGCAGTATTCGCAGAACGGTCCACAAAGCACAAAGCAGAGTCTTTGTCAAACCCATTTTGGGATTCATCCTCGTCATCCTTACCGAATAAAATCGGGGAATGAAGTGATCCAAATAAAACGTTCTCCAGTGTCTTCATTTCCCTTTCCTGCTCAAGAACTAATTTCTCATCCTGTTCCTTCTGTGCCTTCTTTCTCTTCTTGACCCTCAAACTATCAAGTTCAGATTCTTTTCCCTCATCAACATCTCCACTCTTTTGCAGATGAGAAGGCTCATCAGCATCATCCCTTTTAGCCTTACGGCTAACATTTTGGGATATTAAAGCCATCTTTTGCAAATACAATGCCTCCTCTACAAAATCAAAATCAAATAAAACTATTTTCATATAATTTTAACCCAACCAGAAAACACTATGAAGCACTTAAATGAGAGTCTCGCATTAATTTTTCTAGGGTCCTGCACACACACACAGATAACTCGCAAACAGAACAGACAAAGATATTAAAATCAGTATGTATAATCTACTTTGGAATTCAAGAACTAAAAATACCAATCCATAACCGACAACTAGAATCAGATTATCAGCAAATATATATATAATCAGATTATCAGCCAAAAAAAAAAAAATCTCAAAAACTATAATCAGATTATACAATCCAGAAGAACAACAATGAGGGGAAAAAAATAAAAACTCTTACAGTAAATTGCCCAAAACTGAGATAGAGACTAAGAGAAAGAGGCGGGGAGAGCTCTAGAGTAGCAGTAGAGAGAGAGAGATACCTGAGATTATCAGCAAAAAAAATCTAAAAAAAAAAAAAGTTCAGAGTCAGAACTCACCTTGATCTTGACGGCGGCCGGAGTTCCAGGGAGAGGGAGAGAGAGGTGGAGAGAAACGTTGAGGAAGATAGAGACTAAGAGAAAGAGGCGGGGAGAGCTCTAGAGTAGCAGTAGAGAGAGAGAGAGAGATTGGAGGTAGGAGAAATGGAGACGACCGGAACAACGAGGGCGGCTCTTGAAGCTAGGGCTTCGTTTTAGGGCCCTTCACCCACGTAACAAAATTGGGCCTGGGTCAAGTATGGTCCAACTTCTCCTTCATACGCTTTGTCGTTTGAATTGAAACTAGTACCCACTTCTGTACGACATACACTCACGTCGTCCGTTTCAAAATTTCAACGCTATCGGTTTTTTTTTTTTTTTTTCCGAAATGGAACACTATTGGATTGCAATTTTCAAACGCCTACTTTGATAATGAGAAAATTACATGGTTTACCATAGTATTGTCTGAGTATATTATTCGTATCATTCTAAATAATTGGTTGTCATCATACTTATTATTTTATCTTTATTAATTAAATAGTAATTATTTATTTTTTAGTGGAGTGACGTAAATAATATTTCTTTATCATTTTAAATGGTATTTCTGATTTTTTTCCCTAAATTAATTTTCTTTTCTTGCTTAGACTTTCAAAATTATGTATGTTGTAGGTGGACCTTAAAGTTTTTACTTTTTCATAATCAAGGTAAGTGTATTGAGTGGAGACGTTTAGTTCATAAATTAGAACCATGTGATTAGAATCATTTTCAATTTACGTGAGTAAATATTGTAACGAACTACGAATCATGATTCGAATCAGGGAATAAATCTCCCAACCAAACAATCACCATTTGAAAAATTAATTATAGATTAGTTATATTTAGCCATGGTTGCATCCCTATACTTGAAAATGCAAATACTATATATGTTTAAGTTGAAAGCAAATTATATGTTAAATCAGTATAATCAGTTCTAGATATTTTCCTAACGACAAATACTTAGAAATAGTTTTTTTTTTTTTCTTTCAATTGATATATTGTTAATCATATTTAAAAGTTTCATCTGAAAACTAGATACTTATTATGCATAATTTCTATCTTAATTTTCATCCTCATCAACTTCGCATATAGTAACAACATTTATATAGTTTTTTGTTCATAACATTAAAAGTAAGAGAAACGAAAAAAGTGAATTGATTTCTAATTTATTATACTTCTAAACAATAATTAGAGCTCAAATCTTACATTTATTTTCCTCTTACAATAAATAGTATAGAAGTGCCGTAGGCACCTCCCCACACTAGTAGGATTAATAAATTTGAATATCATTATGGAAGTCACTGGAGTCGAATTAATGGCAATGAACTTCACTCTTTTTAAAAAGTGTATACAGTATAATTTATACTATTTAATTTTTTTTCTTTTTTTATTGGAAAACATCATTTCTTTAGTTTGAATTCTTGCTAAATGCTCATGAAGAATCAGGATATTAGAATAGAAACATTAATCCATAGTTAATGATTTGTTTTTTTTATTTTTTTATATTGAGTTATATGTCCGCAAAATTTTATTTATTGAACTCCATGGTTTGACTTTGATTTTTTTTTTTTTTTGGCTCAAGGTTTGACTTTGAAATTTTAAACCTAATAAAAGGTCATTCTCATTCAAATATATAACTCGTAATAACTTTACTTAATCCATATGTATACTCCTGAAACAGATTTATCACCATCCCTTTAATTATAGTAATACATATAACTTCACGTATGACAAAATCGAGCTTTGACGACGAGTTATTTTAGTGGTTATTTCAAACGTTCTCGCTAATTATAACTTATAAGCAATTATATATCATTTATAATCTCTGAGCAAAAAAAGAAAGAGAGAGAGAGAAAAGAAACCATTTATAATCTTGGACAGACTAATTAGAAAAGCCTAACTATATTATATGTTACAAATAGATATATGAAACTTGAAAGTCCTCGTATAAACGCTTTATCTTATTAGATATTATAAGTACGTAGAGATTTACAGAACATATATTACATGCGTGGAGAAAAACAACCAAATGATAATTAGGAGGTTGTTAATTATTTGGTGTGACAAATTAATTAATCATGCGTGGTCGTGATCAGAAGCAAGGCCAATTTGCTTGAGATGTCGGTGAATATCATCAGGATGATCATCGAGTTTGGGACGTTCGGGCTGAATCCAACGGCCATCCTTGTGTCTCACCATACCCTTATTCTCGTTTTGCCTCCAGTAAGGTGGGACCAAGTAATGCTCTTTCAAGAAATCAGAGGCTTTGTTCACTAGGGCTGGGTCTCTTCCACTTGCCAGCACAAATCTATGTCCTTTTCCGTGGTAACTGCATATAAATAATAAATATAATAGCCAACCATCAGTTTAATATCATCATATAGCTATAATCTCGAATTAATTGCTGAATTGAATCTTCAAGTACTAAACTAATCAATGACAATTTGCGTTAAAGTTAGATGTAAATTAATGTTTTGCCGATTGTAAAACGGTTATATATGTGTTCACTCATGTTTACACGCCACGATTATTATACGTATTACATTATATATAATATTATTCCAATTGCATTGTCAATGAATTAGAAAAGGCTTTACATTCAAACGTGCATGGGAAAACGAGTTAAAAATGCAAATATGAACTTCATCCATACATGTCTTTCAGATGCAAATACAAACTGCATTTATTCCATTTATAAGTGCAAATTGTTAATTGTTGTCTTGAAGGAAGAAGCTATGACACTTTCCACCAAGTTGCGTTCATATATAGCATATACTAATACCGTCAATAGAGTTTACTTTAGATGGATTTAGATTATATTTAAGAGTTAAGAAAGGGAAGTATTGGGATGTCATTCAAGTGGTCAATTTTTGTAGTGTAAAATAGGGAAAAAGAGAGAAATAGGCTAAGACTTGAAATGAATTAAAATTAATAGGCTAATAGTTTACATAAGTTAATAAATAGGCCAAATTATTGTTTTCATCCATAACTTGTCTGGTTATGAACCATAACTTGACAAGTTATTGTCTATAATTGTTCATAACTTGTCTGGTTATGAACCATAACTTAATAAGTTTGTCCATAATTTATCTGGTTATGAACCATAACTTGACAAGTTATGGCATATTAATTTCTATAACTAAAAATTGACCTATATACTTTCTTAAGCTTTTCATATTGGCCTATTTTCCTGTAAAATATTAGGCTTGGAACTACTAGTTATGAATCTTAATGGACGTTTGGCTCACAGATTCAGAATTATTTTTAATTTACGTGTGTTTTTTGTGAGAAAAAATATTATAATTAGTCACGAACTATTAATTCGAACCATAGCACGAATCCTCGTACCAAACACTAATTATTCACATATACTATCTTAATTTTTATGTATAAATTAGACTCAAATCATGTGAGCAAACTTCATTGGGTGTATAGTACGTACCCAGCGCATATATATGATCGAGTTTTTCCTTATAAAAAAATAAAAGAAATCGGATGGATATTAAAAAAACAAAGAAAATCCTCGAGGATACTTTTCGTACTAATTGACAACAAATTAATCCAGTTTCGAGTGCCTTCTAAGATTTTCTTCTGTTTTTTTTTTTTTTTTTCAAAAACGACAACTGTTCAGAGTACTTTGGGTCGCGGCTTCACATTTTATAAACATCATAGGGGACCACAATACCACTAAGCGAGGATCAAAGGGCTTGTTATTTTAACACAGTCCACGTATATATATAGACAAAAAATAAAATAAATATAAATCTTACCAGACTCCATTATTTCCTTCAAGAAACGACACTATGCGTCACGCTCATCTTTCTCGAGAATTAGCTCATTACTATTTTTTTTTTTTTTTAGAGGAAGTTGTTACCCAGAAAAAAGGTGGACAATAGACGTATATAATCTCAAGATCGATAAATATTTTATTATCTTCCAGCGCATATAATCTTTTTCCTATCTATACATCTAATATGATCTAATACTTAATATTTTTACGTGGGCCCCAGGACTGAACGCAACACCAAGACGCATGTTCATCAATATGTAGAAAACTTCAATTTGATCCTTTCAATGTTCACTCTGAAATCTTTCTCCATCTAGTTTAAGCTTTAAACTGTGTGTTGTTCTTAAAACTCTAAAAACTATTAAATTTTATGAACTTGCTAAATTTTCAATCAGAATTAAAAAAAAAAAAAAAAAAAAAAAACAATTATAACAAAAAAAAAAGGATAATACTATGCTAGTTAGTATTACTGACCCGTCAAGCAAGTGTAAGAGAGCCTCCAAATTATGCGTACAAACAAGGTCCTTCGTGGGCTTCAAGAACGGCGAGTTACAGTGATCCAACTCCAGCCCCACTCCCACGTGCGAATAACTCCACGGCAATCCCTCCGCCATCTTCATCAGCATCGCCGGCGCGCACTCGTTGAAAACCAGCCCCGGCGACTTCGGCACCACATCGTGAGCGTTCACCACTCTCAGAACCTTCACCCCCAGCCACTCCAACCTCTCTTTAAACCGCGAATTCCCGACCCGAGGACCCGAAAACGAGAAAACCGAAACCGGAACGACCCGCCCGTCCGCCGCCACGTTCAGTCCCGTCTCCGCGATGTCGTACGCGCTCAGAATCGCCAGCGCTGCTCCGAGACTGTGCCCGGTTATCGTGATGCTCAATTCCTCTCCGGAGTAAATCTCCATCAACCGCTTCACCTCCGTGAGGATCTGTTCCCTCGCCGAGTATTTGCAGAACCGGCAGGTTTCGTCTTTGTTGGTGTAGAGATCGAGAAACCCGGATTCGGCTTTGACGTTCGAATCGGGGCAGGGGATTCTGTTGGCGGATATGGGCCTGAGGAAGTCCATTAAGTCGGAGATCCATTCCAGGTGGGTGACGGTTCCTCTCCAGGCGACGGTGATGTCTCGGCGGCCCAAAGTTCTAGAAGCTTCGTCGCTCGAAACGGCGACGTATCCGATCCAGTTGGCGTTCTTGCTCCAGACTTTTGGCCAGCGGGACTTCTTGAAGAAGTTGGCGAGGTTGATGTTGGAGGTCGCGTAGAGGTAGCGGGAAACGTCGTAGTTTTGGTGGGTGGAGCTCATCTCGAGGGACTCGAAGAACTTGCGGCGGATGAACCGGCAGCTACCGCAGTACTTGGAGAATGGGTCGAAGTCGAAGGCGTCGTAGCAGGCCTGGGCCATCTCGCCGTACCGGATAAGCTCGGAGCGGAGGAGTGGGTCCATTGGGTCCAGTAGGCCCACCCACTCGTCCTGGCCGTGGATCTCGCTCCACACGTCGGCCAAACGGCGCCGTTCCGACTGCCGGTCTACCGCTTGTACTTCTTCTTCTTCTAGTTTTGTTAACGAGTGATCGGTTCTGTAAAGGACTCGTAACTCTGATCGAGATTGAGATTTTTGGCGCGGAAATAATGATGTTAGATAATGAGTTTGAGGTGGGTTGATAATAATATTATTGAAAGCTTTTGGGGATTTTGTGAAGAGAATGGCCGAGTTAGAGAGAGAAAGAGCCATTGGAGAGGTTGGCCAAGAAGAGGTCAAGGTGTCAGCAATAAACCATGAAGAAGAAGAAGAGAAGATTATTAATACAAAACTTTTATTACATATAAAATAGAAAAGTAGCGGTTGGTAGTTTGGTCCCTCAAGGAATCCCAGTTTTTATATAGAAAACATCAATTTAGTTTAATATCCCACATGATACATGTGGGCTTCTCTTAGTAGTCCTTGTTTGTCATGTATGCTTGATTGTTTATTATTTAACGTACTATTTTTGACATAATTTTCTGCATACACAATGCAACTTGTTATATTAATATTTAATTTTTTTCTGCATGAGAACCCTTATAATAATTCTTAAAAAAAAAAACTAATTGAAGAAACCTTACAATACTGTTCGAGTACAAAACTGAAATTAAAAAAAAAAAAAAAAAAATTGTTGTGAATTTGTGATACTGATCAAAACCTAATTTTGTTTGTTTTGATCGAATTGCATATCTTTTTTTTTTTTCCCCCATCGGATGGCCGAAAAGCCACAATTATTGCGTGACAAATTCTTCAATCCAAACACATACGTAGAAGGGATAAATGATCAGCAGCTAATAATCCTTGAACAAATAAAAAAGTTAATAAAAGAGTTATACGTGGTTATTACATTAGCCAGAGAAATGAAATTATTAAAAAAAAAAAAAAAAAAAAAAAGTCTTGGTCAACCTTTTCGCCACCTAGCTAGCTTTGACATTGATGGACTCCTTTTTTTTTTTTTCTCGAAAGGGACGTTGACGGACTTGACTAGTGGCACAAGTGTTAATTATATATGAACGAACTAAATTATTTTTCAATAATTTCCACATTGTGTTAATGTTACGTCTCAACGCTTTCTTCATTTTGGATTGTTCAAACGAAAATTCTCCCCAGACATTATAATTTGGTAACTGTAAATTAATTATATATCTTTCCCTCTAAAAATGCCGAAGGTTTTTTTTGGTCACGGTACACTACATGCATTTTGCTGGAAACTTGTGAAGATCATTTGATAATTTGTATATGCAATAGAATATCTTATATATAGGTCCCTCGAACGGAGGAATTATTCAATACACCGGGTGTACCACGTTATATTATTTATGTGCTACGCCCATTTAATAAGATTGTACTATTTAAAACATTTTGTCTATGTCAGTTTTTTTTTTATTTTTCTCTTTCTTAATATGTATTTGCATGAATTATTGAGTTAAAAGCGCTCATTATTCTACCCAATTTCTTTATTTTAATGACTTAACTTTAAATTATTATTTGTTTTCCTAAAATACAATAATCAAATTTTTCTGAACATCCCTTACTATTCAATCGGCTGAACTTTCTTCTTCTTTTTTTTTAACTTAAGTTGCTAACATATATATATATATATATATATATTATAATACTTCTACTTTTTATACATTCCTTATTTTGAGTTAAATATATTCATATACATTTTGAATTCAATCTTTCATGAACTATTGCTCTTGCTTGTCCATTTCGTTCCAAATTGAGCACATAAAAAAAAAAAAAGCAATCCAAATGGGAAAGAAACATGAAACTATATTTAACTCAACAATTGAGTTTAACAAAAAATATAAATAGGCAATATAATATTAAAAATATATTCATGTACTTGGAGTCTCAATATCCTCAATATCATATTAAAAAAATAAAATAAAAATTTATAATCAAGCTTTTTTTTTTTCCTCAGCCGATGGAATAGCAAGGGAAATTCAGAGAATATTGATTATTGTATTTTAGGAATAAAAATAATAATTTAAAGTTAAGTCATTAAAATAAAGAAATTGGGTAGAATAATAAGTGTTTTTGACTCAATAATCAATGTAAATACCTATTAGGAAAGAGAAAAATAAAAGTAAAAAATTAACATACACAAAATATCTAAATGATACATCCTCATTAAACAAATGTACCACATAAACAATATAATGTGATACACTCGGTGTACTGTACATCTACATTATACATATACTAAAGGAAATGACGGATTCACTGTTCATGCTACAGTGCAATGAACAGTGTCTTTTCCGTTTTACCCTTGTTTTTTTCTTCTGTTGAATTTTTATTCTTGTTATGTCCTTTTGAATGTAAAGTTACTATATTGCGCTTTAGTTCAACTTTTTTTGTTTTTGTTTGTTCTTACAGTTTTGGTCATTTACACTCATAATGAGTGTTTTATTTTACCTTTTTTCGTTTGTTGCTTTTTGAATTGTTTTTCTTCCCTTCTTTCTGCAGTTATTTGTCTCTTTCGTTTGTTTTGTTCTGCAACCTTCTAGACCTCTTTTTTTCACTCAGATTGAGTTTTTTTTTCTTTTTCGTTTGTTGGTTTCTACGATTTTACCTTTTTCATATGTGTTTTTATTTCTTTGTTTCTGCAGCAACATTTCTTTCTTCCGTTTGTTTTCTTCTGCAACCTTCTAGATTTGTTTTTCTTTTTGTGCACTTAGATTGAATGGCTTTTTTTTCTTTTTCGTTCGTTGGTTTCTACAATCTTCTAGATCTGTGTTTCTTTTTTTTTTGTTTATGGATCTACTTTTCTCCCTTCCGTTTGTTTCCTTCTGCAACCTTCTAAATCTCTCCATTTTTGGGCAAGATTTAATTGTTTCTCATATTTCTTCTTTCTGCAACCTTCTAGATTCTTTTTTTCATTTATGGACCAGATTTATTCGTTTTTCATCTTCTTTCTTTTTGCATATATATTTTTGGATGTTTTATGTTTTATTTTCTTATTTTTCTTTGGTTGTATATGCATGGTCCTATTCTCTTTCCTTGCGCCATTTGTTATCTTCGTCTTTGGTTTGGTTGATTATTTTTGTTTGGATTTCATAGATTTGGTCATTTGTTTCAGATCTATGTTCTTGTCCACTTTTTTTTTTGGTTGTTTGGTCGTTTAATTCAGATCTATGTTTTTACACTTTATTATATTCCACTGTTTGTTTTAGCTTTGTTGATTTTCTGGCTGTCGATTTTCCGTTCATTTTTACAGTCGTTTTTCCCAGTTTTCTTTTTATGATTTTTGTGGGTATTTTGGGTTTTGTTGTTTTGTTTATGTTTTTTAATTTATTTGTTATTCGGCCATTATATTTGCGAAAAAAATTTTACTTTGTTTTTTTTTCATAATTTCAATTTTTTAACCCATGTTATTTATTTTTTTCGTTCCTATTTTTATTTACTATATTTTGATTTCTTCATATTTTTTTAAATATCATATCTGAATTTGAACAAATCTCTAATATTTGTCGTGATCTAAATGTAATAATATTTATGCTAATCTTTTACTCTGACACGTGTATTTTTTATCTTTTCGTTTTGTATAATGTGTATCCAAAATATAACTGTCTGTTATTTATTAGTTACATTTTGCGGTGGTCTTCATACAATGTGACGGCTGTTGTTAATTAATCATTACTTCTATTACTTTATGTTTGCAGGGATTTGTACCCGAGATTAAGCAAAACATTAGTAAATTTCTGTATATATATTGTATGTTAATTTTGTACTCTTTCTTTGTCTTCATCTTTCAGCTAATATTATCTATCATGTTCTATTCTCTCTGCTTTCTCAATGTTTAAAGACCATAATGATACTAGCCATTTCTACTAACCTTACCGCCTCCTTTATATTCCTTTGCTCTATTTTTGCTGCTCAGTAATTTTGGTTGCTTTCTTTGATTTATCCTTTTGCCCGTGGTTCGTTGAATCAGGTATTCACTTTTTTAATTTACTTTGGTTGATTTGTTTTAGAATATTAATTTATAATGTTATGTTTGTTCGTTATATGAAATATTTTATCCTGTACTTTACTTTTTTTCTTCTCTACTGTACTCTCGGTCATTTACTACTATTCTAATTTGATTAACTGATATTTTATATTTACAAAGTTTTCTAAATCTTATTAAAATATAATGTCTTTCTTTATCAAAAATTTGGTTTTTTATATCCAAATATTTTATTCTCTTCTGGTTATGAGGATGTTATATTTCATTTGTTGTTAATATGTGTTGGGTAATTGTTATTACAGATATGGCTATTATTGATGTTGCCCTTATTATTTTGGACTTATGCCAATATATTTTAATTTGTCTTTTGTTTTAGTTTTACTATATATTTGTATTTATAAAAACTACTTTTATCTATTATACTATTTTGTACATTCTCGTTTGTTTCCTCTGCAGTTTACTCTTTTTTTTCTTCATTGTATTTTTAGTCATTTACTGCTATTCTTAATTTATTAATTGACATTTGAAATTTTCACAACGTTCTAAATCTTATTACAATATAATGCCTTCATTTATCAAAAACTCAGTTTCTTATATCCAAACATTTTATTCTTCTCCAGTTATGATGATGTTATATATCATTTGTTGTTAACATGTGCCGAGTAATTGTTATTACAGATATGGCTATCATTGATGTTGCCCTTATTATTTTAGAGTTATGCTAATATATTTTATTTTGTCTTTTGTTTTACTTTTACTATAACTTTAAATGTTATGATTTTAATTTATTTCTTTCTGCTTTTTTTAGTGAACACTGAAATCTTTCATTTTCCTTAGTATATGTATAATATTGTATATTGCTATTCTAAGCTATACTAATTTTTCTTACTAATGGCATAAACTCCTTAATAATGTAGCTGGTAGCCATGTATATTGCCAGATTTTGTTTCAATTACTTATGGTATATATTCTTCACAACAAATGAATATAGCCTGAACCAAATGTATACTAAATTTTCTTACTTATAGCATAAACTCCTTAATAATATAGATGGCAGCCATATATATTGCTAAATTTGTATCAAATTACTTAAGGTATATGTTCTTGACAATAAGTGATTATAACCTGAACCAACTATTTATATATAATCTTATGTTTTCCTAAATGTTTCTTCATATATTTATAATCTCTACTCAATTTACAGTATAATATAAAGCATTTTTTCCTGTACACTGATTTAATTTATGTATATGATATATTAGTGTAACTAGGTATATTGCACAAACTGTTTGATTCTTATTCTTTTTTATATTGCTCTATCATTTATTCCTCTGTTTTTTCTTCACGGGTTCTG